CACACACACACGGACATACGTACAGCTGTTCTCACAGGCTGAGAGCGAAATCAAAGGAAGTTCCAGTCAATTTGCGAGAAGGCGAGCCAAGGGGAGAGATTTTTCACGTAAAAACATCGATACTCCAGCTAGCAACAGAAGTCTCCAGCCAGCTACTGCAAATGCTACTGCAAGGGACAGAAGAGCTACGACCAGCGAGCAGACTTCGGGGCATGGCCTCGCGATCAACCATGGGTGTCGTGTCTCGCAGAGAGAAGGGACGGTGTGTTGTTAAGAGCTGAGTTCGGCAGGGACCGACAGAATATCGCGGAAAGTTTTATTCTACATTTATCCTGATGTTTTGAGTCGCTTGCAAAGTCAAGGATTGCGATAAGTTGTATTGTACTAAGCTTTCACAGTTGTTTAAGAGGGTGCGAATACAATTTACAAGTTTTGAGAGTGAGTCCCAGCTCCCACGAGCAGCTGCAGCTCGAGTTGAACTGACGAGCAACGTCAAGCAATCACCCTCGACAAAGGGCGGAAGGCACCAAGCATTGTCCAAGCGAGCATAGCAGTGAACCAGCTGCACACATAATCGTGCGCCGCCAGAGAGCACGGAGCAGGAGAGAGAGCACGCAGCAGCGCCACCGAGTGCCACCGAGCAAGGGTGTCAGCAGCCAGCGGACAAACGTTGTGCCGACTCCGCTCATCCAGCAGAAGAAAGAGCATGACCAGCCGCCTGTGAGGAAGAGGAGAGCGCCGGCGAGAGCGCTGTGGGTTCGACCCACACACACACCGACCAGCACCAGCCTATCGGCCAGTCAGTCGGCGCTAGGCAATCCTATGCGATAGGCTGCAAACACACACACACGTCAGCAGCAGCAGCTTGGGAACGAGGTTACAGCCGCAACCATGGTCTGCTAATGTATATACGACCTGTCTGGCTGAATGCCGAAAGATGTTGTTTCTTACCTCAACATTCGTTTGTTTGGATATAATTACTAAGTAAGTAACACCTAAAGATTTGATATTTAGTGACTCTTACTGCAGGCTCTGAATGATTAGTTCTAGATTTCTTTTTAATTAAAGTAGCATTGCATCATGACATAAATCATAAATCTTGTGTTCGGTAACTTCGGTTATATACCTTTCTGTTTCAATCTCGGTCGAAAGTGTAGTTAAACTTTCAGTTTCCGCTTTGGTTTCGGCCCAAAGTGTAGTTAAACTTTCGGTTTCAGCTTCGGTTTTGGCCGAAAGTGTAGTTACACTTTCGGTTTTGGCTTCGGTTTCGACGGAAAGTCAATTCTTAACTGCTTAAGCAGCCAATTCCAATCGCCCGACAAGTGACCGGCTCATTAACATAATTTATTCAGTTACACCGCCGCTCGTTGGGGGAGGGGATTGTGTGATGAACCCCGCAAGTGACGTCATGTCATCTCCTGCTTCCGCGTGACGTCACGAGATACCAGGAAGCTGCCGATCATTGCGCGCGCTCACTGAGATCCGAGGTGAGAAGTTCACATCGTGGTGGTTGTTGTTGTGGTGGTTGTTGTTGTTGTTGTTTACCCAGGTAGAGCCTCGCTCCTCTCGTAGGGATATTAATTGAGGAGCAGCGAGTATGGAATTGATGTCCAGATTGGAACATTACAACGCGGGGCCTAGCCATGCGGGGCCTTGCCTCCTGCTCTCGCCTGATCGCATTTGCTTTAATTATCTTCTGTTGTAGCAATGTGAAGACATAGCCACAAAGGAACGAAATATAAGAATGTAAGTTGTTGGAGGGAGTCATTGTTTGTCGTGATTGAAGTGGGTATGAATAGTATGTGTGTGGTGGCGTGTACATGTATAATTATGTAAACGCGATTGCGTGTGTGCATGCTTTGCAGTCCTTACCAGGCGATGTATACTTGATGTATTTAGTTGTAGCTGTTGTATAGCGTCTGTTGTGTAAAAGGAGGCCGGTAGTGCTGGTACAATGAAGGCTGGTCTGCCTATGATTAATCCTTAATTCAACCAGACTATTTTGTATTAAGCTTACAGATCCTTAATCTATAATTATAGAATATAATCATGAGTCTATTTGACAGGCGAGGCTGCATTGGTTCGGTCATGAATCCCGCATTCCCAGTTACCGCATGCTCAAGCAGCTTCTCTTAGTCCAGATATTAGGGGCTAAACAGGCATGGCATTGGCTAGAGAAGAGATTGGAGGATGTGGAGGTGATCGGAACCGCCAATGACTGGTATCAGTAGTGTCAATATTGTACTCTGTGGAGGAGGCCCGTGAGGTATGCTGCAGGGCAGTTATGATATATTTGCTCTGCAACAACGATGAGGTCGGATGAGTGACACTCACAGAATGGGTGGAACGCTGGGTTCCTAAAACCCAGCAAAACAAAGAGGAGCACAGCTTTTTCATGTCAGTCATCCCTTGACATCTGGATCATTCCCATTATCTGCTGACAAAAGAATCCACACTTACATGGCCATAAATTGCACCTATCATGGCATTACCACTGTGCTAAGGTAACTTCCAATTCGTCATGAATGGTGGATGTTTTGTTTATATAATATGTTAATGATACATATGAAATGTATGTGTATTTAAGAGTTTATCTTTGTGGGGAGCTGTAGCGCAGTTATTTCACTGCATTATGAACGTAACAATTAGTTTGATTATCGCCGACAGCAAACATGATTGATAACACTGTGTAATAAAAATATGTTTTGTCCCTGGGTAGTCAGTGTTATTTTCTAATTTCTTATGCCTCAAAAGTACAGAAAATGGCTATTATTACCCACAAACTTTGCGTTTGACCAGGACAGTGATATTTTGCAATTCAGCTTTTTTACTTGCACGCTTTTTATGAACTCACTCTGTCTGTTGTTTGTTGTCGTTGTTGTATCCTCAAATCTCAATTTTTACCCACTTCTCAAAATGGTATCGACTGCAAACTTGGTATACTTATGTCATACTGATGACAATACTATTTTCTATCATAAAAAAATTTAAAGAGATCTTTTAAAACATTTTTTATATGTTATGTTTCTGCTTGGCTCTAATTGTCCACTGTAAACTGATGTTGGCTGTAAATGACCATGGTCCCTTATGTTATGGCAAACTTCGGGGCCACTTCCTGGAGTTCTTCCATTACTAGTACGGTACATTTAATTAAAGCGTGTTGAAAAAAAAGTGTTTTTTAAATATTATCTATTTCAATGAGAGAACTTGTGCATTTGTGTCATACCTTCATGTAAAGTCCTGGTCACAAAAGCAAAGTTTGTGGGGAATAATGGCCATTTTCTATACTTTTTAGGCATGACCAATTAAAAAATAACACTTGCTACCCAGGGACAAAAATCGTGTTACATAGTTTAAGTGAAAGCTGAACTTATTGTGGGCCTCTGCTATGTTGATTGATCTTGAATTAATTACACGGTGAAGTGAGGAAGCATTAATACTGAGCAGATGAAAGCGGCAAGGCATGGTTTTGGACACACCACCACCTTTTTAAATCCTTTATGTTAAGTTCGCTTGCTTGCTTGCGTGCGTGCGTGCTTGCTTGCTTGCGTGCTTGCTTGCTTGCTTACGACCATGCAAATTTTTCGGTCGTTTTTTAACCCACTTCCCGTGATCCAATCGAGCTGACATTTTCCACACAGACTCGTTGTGCCAGACAATTAATGTTCGTGAAAAAAAATTCCCAAAATTTTACACTTTTTAGGCAAAAAAAATTTATTTTACATATATTGAAATAGAACTCATTCATGGATTTGGCTGAACGTCACAGTGTAAGAGCCCAGAGCATAACCCCACCACAGGCCGTGGCGGAGTAGCGCAGTTGGTAGCGCCCTCGCTTCCCATGCCAAAGGTCGCGGGATCGATCCCCGCGTCCTCCACAGGCGAATATATTTTTAAATCCTTTATATTAAGTTCGCTTGCTTGCTTAGGACCGTGCAAATCTTTCGCTCGTTTTTTAACCCACTTCCCGTGATCCAATCGAGCTGACATTTTCCACACAGACTCGTTGTGTGACAATTAATTTTCGTGAAAAAAAATTCCAAAATTTTACACTGTTTAGGGAAAACAAATTAAATATTTAATTACCAATTCTTAATGGTGGCAGACAATCATCTGACCCATAGGTGGCAGCCATCTCAAGCCAGAGGACGAGAGGACTCTTGCCGCCACGCATATAAAGGATTTATAGTGAAAAACTTTGTTTTTACGGGTTTATTTATTACCATGCCAATGTGTAACAGTGTCAAGTTTGTATTTTCAATAATGTATATTAACTATTGAACATGAAGGTTAAATGAAAACAATAGTTTAATTTATTTTTCCTCTGGAACTTTTTACGTGAATGGAAGCAGTCAGGAAAATATCTCAGCACATATGCAGCTGAATTCAGATCTGTTCATCTGAGCATTCAAGCAAATCTGAGCCTGGCTTCACACCTCGAAGTTTCGATTGAACATTAATTTATGCATTTCTGCATATTACAAATAGTATTATTTTCAACACCCTTTCCTATGTTATCAGAATTTTTCTTAAATAAATATTAGTTTTGTAGCTAGACAGCCGAAATTGTGTGCTTGGAGTTTTCGGTTAACATTCATTTTGAAGATACTCGGGCATCCAGGCATATGTATGACTATTTGCCCTCTCATTGTGTGCCTTAACAGCCCGTGTGATGAATTGGGGAATCTTTTTCACTACATCATGAAAAGATTAATAAGTATAGACGTGTGAGTCATGTGTGACTGTGTATATATTCATTCCTCTGTGCCTCGATACTGACGTAGATGGTGTGGATATGTTTTTCTATCTGCAGCTGATGCTTCCTCTGACGCTTCCTCTGCAGAATTGATCTGATGGAGCAAAGGCACTCAGCGCAGCTCGGTACAAGAAGGAAACAATGCAACCAGTATGCAAACAGCACGGATCGTACTGGAAATTTGACACAGCACCAGAGAACACACACAGAAGAGAAACCTTTCAAGTGCACTGTGTGTGAGGAGGCATTTTCACAGTCATCACATCTTACAATACACCAGAGAACACACATGGGAGATAAACCGTTCAGGTGCACTTCCTGCCCGAAAGCGTTTGCACATTCATCACAGCTTAAAATACACCAGAGAACGCACACAGGAGAGAAACCCTTCAAGTGCAGTGTGTGCGGGAATGCGTTTGCAAAGTCATCATATCTTCAGGGCCACCAGAAAACACACACGGGAGAGAAACCCTTCAGGTGCCCTCTGTGCAGGAAGGCATTTGCACAGTCAAGAGATCTTAGGAGCCACCAGAGAACACACACGGGAGAGAAACCCTTCAAATGCAGTGTGTGTGAGAAGGCATTTGCACTGTCATCAAATCTTAAAAACCACCAGAGAACACACACAGGAGAGAAACCTTTCAAGTGCACTGTGTGTGAGAAGGCATTTACAGAGTCATCATATCTTAAAAAACACCATAGAACGCACACAGGAGAGAAACCCTTCAAGTGCACTGTGTGTGAGAAGGCATTTGCACAGTCATCCATTCTTCAGAGCCACCAGAGAACACACACAGGAGAGAAACCCTACAAATGCACTCTGTGCGACAAGGCGTTTACATGGCCATCTGTTCTTCAGAGCCACCAGAGAACACACACAGGAGAGAAACCCTTCAAGTGCACTCTGTGCGGGAAAGCGTTTTCACAGTTAGCACATCTTCAAAGACACCAGAGAACACACAGGCATCAGACGATCCCTAAGGAGTGTGATCTGAAATCGACTTGTGAAAGTCAAAGTGCTGCAATGAGCCCATCCCTCCTGAAACAAGAACCAGAAGAAAATCCCAACTTGGACACTTTAAAAGGTATCAAGGTGAAATGTGAAGAGGCAACAGTGAAGAGCGAAGAAGTGAAGGTAAAATGTGGAGAAGTGATGGTGAAATGTGAAGTGATGGTAAAATGTGAAGATGAAGATTCAACTCCAAAATCGGACCTTCACATTTATGGAGGCAACATGAAGCAGGAGGAGAATTCTGACTGTGAGGCAGAGCGAGGCAACTCCCAGCAGTTTGTGGAAGTGGAGGTGTGGGTGGACTTGCTAGACAATACAAAGTCAAATGGAGACCTGGTAGATGTGCAAGCTTAAGACAATGAAGCTCCAATCGATTCACCTTTGTTACGGGCCTTTAATGAAAATAATGTGAAGTTGAACACTCAATTTCTAGGTTCATCCTGCAGAGCAAGAGCGGCCAGTGTTTGCGGACCTGTGGGTTGGGTAGATCTCTAACCAGGATCGAGAGCCAATTAGCTCCCAAGCATTCACTATGTTATAATATTAGCATTTATATGGTGCTTGCTTAATTGCCTCAGCAACTCGGAGTTTCGTATCAAATCTCATCACAAACACTTGAAGAGCATGTTTTATATATGCCTTTTCCAAAAAATTATATTAAGAGTGATTCTGCCCTTTTTTTTATAATTTTGATCGGGATGTAGTGCTGGGGCACGGAAAGGGTGAGTCCCCCCCTGCCTCCTACCTTACCACACAAAAGACAGCTGGGGGATAATTACTCACAAGCCTGCTTGGGAAGTCATTAAATGTTATAAAAAAAAACTGGCAAACCTAAGGGGGGGCTAATGAGATTCTGCGGGACATCCCAGTTGACTTTAGGAGAAAGACAGAGACAAATATGCACCGTATCACCTTAATAGACTGTAGGTTGCAAGTTCTGTTAGCGAGCACCTATAAAGGCCGGCACAGCGCACGAGGGGGTGGGTGGCCGGCACCACGCCTGGCCGCCTTTGTCTCCCCAGTGGTGATGTCTACTACACAGCGCCTGGTTCGCTGTGTTCCTGCCAAGGCAACATTGCCACGGACCCCAAGCTGTGTTCCTGCCAAGGCAACATTGCCACGGACCCCAAGCGGTGTTCCTGCCAAGGCAGCATTGCCGCAGACCCCAAGCTGTGTGCCTGCCAAGGCAACATTGCCACGGACCCCAAGCTGTGTTCCTGCCAAGACAACATTGCCGCGGATCCCAAGCTGTGTTCCCGCCCTCACACTTTCCCCCCTGCTTGCCTAGATATCCCTGCCGGCGAAGGTGCGATGCATAGAGAGAGAGAGATGCCACCCACACCGAGGTTGCGGCCTAGCTCGCGCTCTCACACTCTTCCAAAAACTGTAGCACACGGACGAGAAGTCGTGTGGCGAGTGCAGCAAGACATTTTCTCGCGCTCGGCCTACAAGTATATATATATATATTTTTCTTTTCGCTTGTATGTTAAACTGTGTGTAACCCTGATATTTTAAAGATGGCAATTCTCCTGCTGTGTATACTACTGCTGTCCCGGCCATATCTAGTGCCACATTCAACTTTACAAACGGCTACCCACGGCAAAATTTTCCACGATGCCGATCCATGCATAGCAATATCCACAATAGCTTTAAGTAATGAAGGCTGATCTTCCTCAATTTTCGGCCTACCAGGCTTGGCCCTGACATTCAGCCATGTGCATAGATCTGAATTATCTTCAAACAGAGCATTTAATTATTTTCCTTTCTTCTCATCTCTTGCTTTCTGTGCTCTTTTTTGATCACCCTTTTTAAATCCTTTATATTAAGTTCGCGTGCTTGCTTGCTTGCGTGCTTGCTTGCTTGCGTGCTTGCTTGCTTGCGTGCTTGCTTGCTTAGGACCGTGCAAATCTTTCGGTCGTTTTTTAACCCACTTCCCGTGATCCAATCGAGCTGATATTTTCCACACAGACTCGTTGTGCCAGACAATTAATTTTCGTGAAAAAAATAAATAAAATTTTTTACACTGTTTAGGGAAAACAAATTAAATATTTAATTACCAATTGCTAAATGGTGGCAGACAATCATCTGACCCATAGGTGGCAGCCATCTCAAGCCAGAGGACGAGAGGACTCTTGCCGCCACGCATATAAAGGATTTATAGTGAAAAACTATGTTTTTACGGGTTTACTTGTTCTTCTTCAACTGGTTTTCCAATTCAGTTTTTTTTTCTTCTCCGGCAGTTCCCCATCCAGTTGCTGTGTAAGCATTCCTCGTTTTTGGTGTTCGTACAAGTCGACGAGATCAGAATTCAGAATGTTAATCTGTGACTGCAAATGCAGCTGGGCTGTAGCAATTCTTGATGTTGCTGAATTGCTAGTACTAGGCGCTGAATCATCAGCCTGAGCGTCGGTCACTTGTCCATCAGACTGTGATACAGAATTCTGAGGTATTTCGACGGGCACTTTTTTTTATTGGCAGATGTTTGTTTAGCCCAAAACGAACAAAGTGATCCTTTTCTGGTGGTGGGAATCGCCTTTAATTCTTGCAACCAATGATCAACTTTAACTTGCAAATCTGGATCATTTTCATGCCATTCCACTTTTGAACCAGTTCTTCTTGGCAAACCTTTCTGCTCTTTTAGATTTGAAAGAGAAAAAGTGAAAGTACCCCTATGGGTTCCCCCTTATCACCAGTGATAGTAAATGTTTTCAAGGAGAAATTTGAAACGTGCCATCTAGACATCCACCCTATGTCCTTCCTTGTGGAAAAGATATATAGATGACACGTTCGTCATTTGGCCACATGGCCTGCCAGCATTGAACCAATTTCTCAACCACATGAATTCCTCCATACACCCATCCATCAAATTCACCATGGAAGTGGAGAAGGATGGTAAGCTACCATTTCTGGATGTTTTATTTGAGAAGATACCTGATGGCTCGTTGGGACTCTCTGTCTACAGGAAAGCCACCCACACAGATTCCTATCTGAAACCTGATTCCCACCACCATCCGGCACAATTCCCTCATCAAGACACTACACCATAGGGCCCACTGCATTTCTGACCAACACCACCTAGCCAGTGAACTGGAATACGTACACCAGGCCCTCAAGATGAATGGGTATTCGGACCGCATTATCCGCAAAGCTGTTTCTCCAACCATGGAGAAACAACCCCCTGAGACGCCGATGAAAACCATCACGTTACCATACATAGCAGGCGTTGCCAAAAAGATTTCCAAAATCTTAAACAAACACAAGATCCAGGTCCTATCAGTACCGTACACAAAATTCGTGATCTAATCCCATCTGTGAAGGATGCAATTCCTGACATGCAATAACCCGGAGTCTACAAACTAAGTTGCACCTGTGGTGGGTGTTACATTGTGGAAACGAAACGACATATCTCGGACCGTGTTCGCGAGCACAAGTCAGATCTGAAACACGGCAGAACTAATACCTCTGCCGTGGCTGACCATTGCTATAACGCTGTGGGCTCTCATGATATTGTTTTTTCCGAGACCAAGGTACTCTGCAAACCTTCGGGCAACTATCAAAGGTTTGTTCATGAAGCCATCCAGATATATAAACATATACATAACTTCAACCGAGAAGATGGATACAAATTGAGAAATCATTGGAAGGATGTTATTAACCAGGTTAAACCTTAACTGCTTTATGGTGTTGTCTTAATATCCGCATCTCCAGTCTTCGTCAGCCTCCCACTCCCAGCCCCGCTCACTCCCCCCCCCCCGCCCCTGGCATTTTGCCGTACTTGCCCTTTAAACCCTTCTAGCAGCGCTTCACTTGGCAGCGCTCCAATCCCCTACCCCACACCCCCCTCTCTATCTCGCCTCCCTGGCTCCTCCCCCCTCTCTTAACCTATATGGCCTCTTATTACAGCAGCCCTTTTGCCCACTTCAGCAATTGTTTCTTGCTGTGGTTGTCCCACCTGATGACGGACGCTTGTGTTGCGCCCGAAACGTGATTTAATTTATTTTATTTTATATCTATGTGACTTTACTGAAAGAACCAAAGAGTACTTTCTGCTCTTTGTTGGATATGCCAGCACGTACGCATCAAAAAGACACTGGTACATTTTATTTGTAACCATCGTAGCATTCAAATTGCTTCAAAAAATATTATTTGAGATTTTATTTGTGTAATATAAACTTTCATTATTAAACTTGATAAATGTATATTTTCATTATTATTTGATTTGAAAGTAATATTTTAAATAGATAGCGTTACATTAATGAATTATTTGATTAGCTATTCTTTGATTATTGATTACTATTGTAGTGACATATGTCACTACTGTGCGGGTCTGTACACACATGTCACTGCTGTGTTGGGTATGTATGCGTGACCCTCACTGCCGGGTCAGTATGGAGGCTGTTGACGTGTGCCACGGGGTCGTGTCATGCTGTGGCCCTCTAAGTGATCCCGACTGGACACGTGACCGGATCACGTGGTTGGGGAGTGGAGCCTTCTCGAGGGTTCGAGAAGAGGGGCGTGGCCAGGTTGTAGGCAGCCACGCCAAGGGGCTTATAAGCGGCCTCAGCACAGAGAGCTGGGCTGTTCGTGACTTGGATGAAGACGCCTCATGAAGAATCTGAGGAGAGAAGCCTCCAGTCATCATGCACAAGCAGAAGCCTCCTGGCTTGGCCACGCCAAGTAGTACCCGAGTGTTAGCAAGATTAAGACGGTCACCACCTTATGTATAGGGTGTGTTACAGTTGTGTTGCAGTTGTGTTAAATAATATTGTTGCCTCCACACGCAGGTGTGCGCCTCTGGCGAACCATTACCACTATAATTACTCAATTAACTCAACTGAAACTGATACGAAGTATTTAAAAAATTCAAATGAGCCAGGACATGAGCACCTTCATAGAAACATGTAAGAAAATACATTTCAATTATATGCACAATTTATATTATTTGTGCGAATGATTCGTTTTTGCGCACTATTATTTTTTGCACAAAATACTAATCGTGCACAATATACTGAATCGTGAGCGGTTTAATTTTTTTACTTCGTTTCCCATAAGGGAACTCGTAGTTAAATCAAATACCTAAATGGTTAATGCAGTCACTCATGGTTCAGAGTAGGTGCAATGGCAAAGAGAGCAGGACGCCCGTTTCTGGGTACAAAGAAACAAAAATCTCATGGAGGAATATTAATCATGGAGGACGCGTTGGCTATTGTACGCTTGCCGAATGAGTATATTAGTAGGTACTCCATGATGAATTATCCCTCCATGCTCAAAAGTGGGTGTTTGATATCTTTGTACACGAAAACTTTTCTCTCTATTATTTCTTTTTCTTTTCTTTATATATAAAAGTCTCCGCGTGCTCGCGCTTGCGGACGATTTAGCTCTCAGACGGTGGCCTTTACGTAGAAAAAATTTGGCAGGCGGCACGCCCTAAGCCCCGCGGTGGGAATAGGCTATTCCGTTTTCCCTTAAAGTAGTTTAATTAACACATCTGTGCCGTTTCTATTTTTAATTATTTACTTATTGCAAGACGTCGACTGTACCAACTCACGACAATTGCGGGGGGGGCGGACCCTGCCAAGTCACGGGGGACATTTTCCTTTTACGCATTTTACAGGCAACACATACACGCATCACGCTGCGGATATTTCTTCAGTGTGATGTCCTCTTCACCCGCCCCCTCCCAACACGATGTGTCCGTTTATACAACAGACTTCGTAGCTAAAATATTTTACTGCTTACATAGCTTCTTCTTGCACGGCCGAGGGATGCTGGGGGGGTGTGGGGGTCGCGGCCCAGCCCCTAGCCTCGCAACGTGCCAACTCCGCCGCCTCGCCAATGTAGGCCAGGACGGGGGCTACGCATGGCACAAGGCCTCAACACGCCTATGGTAAGTACAAATTTCCTAGCTTCTTACGCTAACAACTCAAGTCCATTGTTTATTATTGTTAAACATTAGTTAAGAAACATTACAATGATAATGTTTGTGTGCTGATAAAAAAAATTCGCTTCATTGCTTACTATTATGAAACAAATACGTTGCCAGACATTACATATTTATCTTTGCACATACCAACTCTGCTTCATTGTTTACTATTATTAAGTAATCAGTTGCCAAATCTTACTATTATAATGTTTGTGTCCACATAATAACTCGCGTTCATTGCTTACTATTATGAAACAAGTAAGTTTGCCATATTACAATAATTATGTTTGTGTACAGATAACTCAGGTATCGTGCATTGCCAACCTATCATCTACACTGCTAATTTCATTTTCACCATTTACAGTGTATGCCAGTCTATAATCTATTGCCTGCTTCACCTCACTCGGTGACTGCCAGCCTTTCATGTCGATTGTATCAATGCTTATGTCATTGAGTCGGTGTACTGGCAGTCTATAATCTCGACTGTAGCCTGCTTCTCAACTTGGGCGTACCGCTGCTCTTTCATTTATGCTTATTTCTGCTTTATTTCTTCAATACATTTCTATATTTCCATCGCATCACGTCACGCTATTTACTCATACGTAGTACTGCGATACTGATAGCTGTGCCATCATCGGGATTGCTGTGCCCATCGATGTGTGTGCGTGAGCGATGTGTGTGC